CCTTCTCCTCTTCTTTGCCTTGTCCATCCTCGGCACCTTCGCCCTTGACGCCTTCTTTGCAGACTTGCCTGATCCTACCTAAGAAGCCATAACAACAACAACCTCATTGCCTCGTCAGTTACACGCAACACAAGTCGCAAAGCCAATATCACCAATTCCATTTAAGCTTCACTTTTCCCTCGCCAGTACTGACAAAGTTTGCATCACCAATGGGTGGGCATCAGCCAATCATAACGACCAAAACTGCATCAGGCACCCTCTCATTGACCCGAGTTTAAGGAAGAAGGATGTGGCAACAGTTTAGACTCTAACCCAGTCTGCTCGTAGGTGCCGACATTGCATCAGCCACTCAACACTCTACATCAATCGGCTCATACACTAAAAATGTAATCACATTTATATCCATGTTACTCATATTTTCAGCATAATTTAGAAGTAAAATTTGTATTAGCTGTGCATGAAGACACACTCAAATACAAACACTTATAGACATGACCATTTTAAATAAACGTAAGTAAAAAATTGGAAAGCGTAAACACATTAATGCACAAGAGTTGTTTAAGGTATAGTTTTTAATAGGTGCATGAAAGTACACCACTATACTTGGGCAAGTTCTTGCACTGATGAAAAATAAGACATAGTGACATACTGATGTGCTAATTAATGATATGTAAATGAACCAAAAACTAATAATAACGCAGATAACCTACGTAGGCATCTCGAAGGAATCATCTACCATTCACCAAGATCTTAGGTGGGAGTCGAAGTGCAAGCTAGAGAGATTGTTAGTGAACGTGTGTACGAGTGAGTGAGTGAATGGTGCTTGGAGTAGCACAGAGTTGTTGAAAGCGATGTTACAACAGCAATGGCATCAACAATGTGCAACTAATTTGAGGTGAGGATAGACCAGCTAAATAAATAAGTAATAATGAGAGAGCAAATTTAAATTTGTATATGCTTCTTCCAAAATTGCATTTATCTCCTATCGGAAAGTTAAATTATTTTACAAGCGTTTGCAAAATATATTTAGAACTGCATGTAAGTGGGTACACCTTATTTCATCACTATATTTCCGTTTCTAATAATCAAAATTGAGCACAAAATTTGTTGCCGATGTTGTCTACCTATTTAACTCATAAATATTCCGCTAAGAACATGCGAGTAATGGTGATAAAATTACTCCATATCCTCTGCCGATAAAGTAAGAATTTCTAGAATTTTGAATAAAATCATCTTTTAATCAATAGTAAGGTGCTGGAACAGTAAAAAAGTAGATGTGTGCTCACTGCTACAATGAGCTTTCCATTGAAGCAAACAAGCGGGGAGCGTATTCAGTTCTGGTGCAATTCATGAATGCGACGCTCCCATTGCCATTGGGAAAGCAGGGCTGAATCATATTGCAGTCCAAATTGTCGTGGAGGCAATAAACTTTCCCGTTTTAACTGAGAAATCGATAAAAACTAAAACTTTTGACAGAAAACTATTACAATCATTTCAGTAGGCAGGGGGCGAAAGAGAAAGAAACTAGTAGACAGAAAACTCACGTCAGTATTTAAAAGCAATGCCACAATCCACGGTTAAAGTAGGGAGCACCTCTGACGTTTATGTATAAAAACCTTTTTCACATTAAGTGAACAAAGATTTCTTCACTCAGTAAAACGACTACATAAAATT